TTTCCAGTATTTAACAACTCTAGTTATAACTGTATTTAACTGTAGGCTATACTGTAGTACTTAATAACATACAGTTTGTATGTATCGATAGTTTTTTTTAGTTAATATGCAATCGCTTTAGTGTTGTGTTTGTAGTGTATGCGCGCAAAAATCATACATCCATTGCATAGGTTTTCGGTAAATATAATTATTTTCATTATATATATATATATATATATATTGTCTAAAAATATTAATTTAATTATTTATATCTAAAAATTTTTTTAATATAACTAAATAAAATATATATATTATAAATATATACAGTATATATAGTTATATATTATATACATGTATATTAACATTTAACGATATATATGGATGCACCTTAGTTATTTTTTTTTTTTTGAAAAATGCAACAATACACAATTATTATTATTATTACAGTATTATTGTACAGTTTACAAAAAAAAATTAATATGTTAATTTATATAATATAATAAATACCAGGTAGTAATGTACAAAAAAAATAATAATTAATTAATTGCAACATGATCTAGCTAAATTATTATTACTGTATTATTAGTGTACAATATTTATATGATATATGTACAATTATTATTATATACATATAATTTGATTTGTGTCATGGTAATGTTGTTTATTTATTTATTTATTTATCATGTTTAATATAATTATAATTGTTGTTATAATCTAGCAATTTTAATTATTATTATTATTATTATAATAGTAATAGAAATTTGTTTAAAATAATTAAAATTTTTATCAGTGTATAATTAATTAAATGGTTGTCATAGTAGTAGTAGTAGTATAGTTATAGTGACCTAGATCAAATTGTATATATGATAATAACTTATGGCAATTTATTATACAATATTAATATACAGTATATTATAATTATGATATATTATAGTACATTAAATTATCATAGTTTCAAAATTAGCCATATTTTAACTTAAAATTTTTAAAATAAATAATTTCTAATTAAAAAAAACTAAAAATAAATTTGTTTAAAAAAGTTTGTTTTAATTTTGTTTTGTTTGTTTTATTCAGATTATCGGTAATTCATATCATATCTCGCTTAGTATTATTACCCATAAATAATATATAGTAAAATACCAGTGCGTGGGTGTGTGGGTGTGTGTGTGTGGCACCGGTATGTACGGCGGCAACGATGGTCACAACAACAACGACAACAGTGGTAGAGTATGTAGTAGTATTGGTAGCGATAATTTTGGCCGCCGATAGTCCAGACCATGTATGGGGATCACTGGGCGATCGACTACCGTATTATAATCGATGTCTGTACGACTGTATCGACCGGAATTGTACTACCGATGACCAGTTACGGGTGTTTGCCGACAGTCAGCCGAATTATATGGCATGGATTGGTTGGGACTGTCGTCAGGAGTGTCAACACCAGTGTCAGTGGCGAACGATTGACCAGTGGTTAGGATCGCCGCTATACAATGGACACCGATTGCCACAATTTTACGGCAAAGTTAGCTAATAATATAGTAGTTTTTATTACCCGATTGTCTAAATAGGATATATGTATCTATTGTTTTGTTGCTTTTAGTGGACATTTTACCGATTGTTCGGTATCGAAGAGCCGGCATCGATGATCTGTTCTGTACTTAATCTGGTGACCAATTTGTACGGCTGGAATCAGTATCGGAAATCAGTGGCCAACAATGACGGTGGCGGCGGCGGCGATCCACACTTTACCATTCAGACAGTACAGGCCTTTCTGGCGGTAAACGCCTGGTTTTGGTCAACAATTTTTCATACACGCCAGACATCCATCAGCGAAGTACTGGTTTATCAATTTATATATACTGGCCAATGGTTCAATTTGGCGGCCATTAATTTTTACCGAAAATATTTAAATATATTTATTTATTACACCAGAAATTTGATTACTTTTCCGCCTATTCGCTGGTCATCTATTCGTTGTACGCATTGGTCATACGTGTACTTATGGACAGTACTTGTAGTAGTAGTGGTAGTATTAAAGGATTACCGATGATTGCCAGACATTGGTCATTGATTGGATGGACAGTTGGGCTACCGTTTCTATCATTTTTCATCTATCATTGTTACTATTTATATTTTATACACTTTGATTACGGCTATAATGTTAAAGTCAATGTTATTACTGGTAATTGTTATTATTATTATTATCTAAAAAATTGTCTAAAAAACCCCGACAATTACCGGTTTCCCCGGAAATTGTTTTTAAAACATATTATTAATGTAATACTACCCCATCCCTCCCCCGCCCCCCAAAAAAAACAGGTCTATTTAGTTCAATCGGTTGGCTATTATGGTGTTATTCAAATCGCCGACATCAGGGAAATCATATCTGGAAATGTATCCTAAGTATAGGCCTATTGAATAGTCTACTACTACTAGAGCTATACGACTTTCCGCCGGTGGCCTTTATATTTGATGCCCACTCACTGTGGCACCTGGGCACAGCACCCATACCTATACTATGGTTCAGGTATTTTTTTAGTATTTATTTGTTGTTATTATTGATATTATTTTTTGTTGTATTTATTTGTTTTATTTTTCTATATAAAAAAAGTTTCACTAATTTTGTTTTTTTTGTGTGAAATTTTTTTTTGTTTTTTTTCTCCAATAGCTTTCTAACTGATATTAACATCAATAATAGATTTAAGTCAAAAATTTTGTGATATTTAAAAAAAAATACTAATTTATATATATATATATATACTGTATATTTAAGATATTTATTGCACCGGGTGAAACAAACAAACAAACAATTTTTATACATATTGTATATATATTGGTACAATCAATTAATTAACCAAGATGAATTTTTCAATATTATTATTATGCAACAAAACAAACAAACACAAAACAAAAATTTCTATACGTTTTTTTGCTGGTATTATTAATTGGTACTGGATAAATTTTTAATTTATACCAATTAAATAATTACCGGTATATCAATAGTATTGATATATATTGATTCAATACTATTACCCGTATATATATTGTGTGTGTGTGTGAGTAAGTCATATCATATGTTTTGTAGACTAAAAATGTACTTTTTTTTTGGACACATTTTTTTAACCGGTAAAAAACACTTACAAAATAATAATAATTACCGGTTTATTAATATTTATAACTTAATACAACAGCAAACAAACAAATAAGATATCAAATATTTATATATATATATTAATATATTATTGGAAACAAATTATTATAATATAATTACCGTATATTTTACACACAAATATTATTTTAAATTGCAAATCAAATATATATATTTTTTATTAATTAAATCACTTAAAAATTAAATTAATTAATAATAAAAATAAATTATTTATTTATTTATATATATAATTTAAATAGTTTAGTATAAAATGTTTGGAAATATTTTGTTATTATCAACACATTGATTATTAATCTCTCTCTCTCTCTCTCTATATATATATATAAATGGATTTATTTTAAAAAATAATAGTTAAAATTATTATAAATTAAAAAAAAATTAATCTATCAATTGATGGGAACACCAGTTAGTTAGTTAATTAAGTGCGAGTTATCGAAATACTTGTTGCTACCGGTGCCGTACTTGGTCTGCATTAGCCTATCGATACCCATTTCTTCGTATTGTTGTTTTGTTAGCCAAAACTGTGGCTTATCTTTCATAACGTCGGCTAATACGGCACCGCCAATGAATACCATATCCTTTCGTCGGGGCGGGTCTTCTATGCGTATCTTGAATTTCTGATTAACCGACCGGAAGTGCGCGGGTAATAATAATAATTTCAATCAATCAATCGATTACACCATAATTAATAACACAAATAATAATAAAATACCTGTAGTTTTTCGACATCGCCTTTAAGTATACGCTCTAAATACAGTTGTTTGACCTCCCGTTCCAGTCTCGATGGTAATCCCGGATACATTGTCGATCCGCCGCTCAATACAATATGCTTATATAGATCACTTTTGATGTCCAAATCGGCGCCATTTATGGTCGAAAATAGTAGTTCGGCTATTCCTGTAGTGATTAGTTAGTGATTAATTCGGTAATTAATAACAGCAGTAACAACAACAACCCAATGGTCACACACACATACCCAGCCCTTCAATGTTAACTAAATGCGGTTGGAATAGACATTCGGGCGCTTCGAAGCGTTCGCCACCGAGTTTTATGACCCGACCGTCCGGTAGCTTAATGTATACACAGAAAAAAAGTATTATTATAAATATACATCTCTGGATGGTAGGGGGGGGGGTTAGACTTAGGGACTAACAGTGTATGTTTCAGTTAGAAAAGTGGTTTCCTGTGCCAAACGTTGTTCCTGTTCACAGTTGTAGGCAATATAACATAACTTTTCTTTAAGCATACGGACTGTCTCGAAGTCGGCCGTATGATTGAATGCATAGCCCCGTAGGAGAAGCAACTGATATAGCAAATAGATTTGTAAAAAAGTTAATAATAGTTGTTATTGTTATCGTTGTCGTCATCGTCGGGTTATTTACTTTTGTCAGATAGCGGGTCACTTCGCGGCCGGCAATATCAAGTCGTCGGGTGAGATGAGGCAACGCATAGCCCTCATAGACGGGACAGATATGCGTAACTCCGTCGCCAATGTCGACAACAACGCCAGTCATTAAACCTTTAAATTGACGGTAAAAAATCAGTTAATTACCCATAAAACAGTAAGGGTTGGGTGGGGTTGACCCCCCCTCTCTCTCTCTCTCTACTAACCCTGAGCATAAAGGGTGAGCACCGCCTGAATGGCGATATAAGTGGAATGAAAGCCATACTTTTCGAACATCATTTCGATCATCTTTTTCCGATTGTTTATCGGATTCATTGGCGGTTCGGTCAACAATATTTTACACTCTTTCGGATCGATGTCCAACCGATTGTAGAATGTATAGTCCCAGATGTGGCACATGTCCTCCCAATTGCGGACAACACCTACCGGTACACAGATCGAGAAAAAATTAGGGTTACACCGATAGTCAATGTCCACATAATAATAATACAAACCATTTTCCATTGGATACGCCAACTCTAACATTGATCGCAACTTATTTGCCTCTTCGCCGACCATTAGGTCCTTCAACAACAACAACAACAAAAATTAGATATATATATAAATAAATAAATTATTACAGTTATTATGTAGAGTATTAGCTATCAATTAAATTATTATGATTAACCACAACAACACTCAAGAGTATTAACTTAAAAAAAAAATTAGGTGATAATGAATGACATGACTTAATGATTAGATAATAATAATTGTAATAATAATAACAATGTCTTACAGATTCAATCATATCCTCTCTCTATACATATATATATTAATGGACAGACAGACAGATAGACAAACAGAGATCAATGAAATCAATCGTTGATATCGTTTGTTATCATCGCATGAATCCCAAGAAAGAGAGAGAAATGAAGCGTTAATTTAATGGCAGCGCAGAAGTAGTAGAAGAAGACGAAGAAAGCCGATGACAATTGAAAAGGACACATGAAATTCAAAAGTCCGGAGAGAGAGAGAGAGAGAGATAAGCGGTTAGTTTTCGGCACTTGAAGACATTGATGACCACTTTCTCTTAAAAAAAATTGGTCATCAATTGATTTTTTTTTTGGGTGTCAATTACACCACCAATTAATTAATTATTAAAATGATAAATGATATGAATGAATGAATGAATGGGAAGGTAATGGTAGGTATCAATCAATCAGTTATTTGTTTGTTTGCCTACTTTGACTTCGATGTCATCGATTCGTGTGGCGGCCCGTATGGTCGGCCGGCCGACAATCGACGGAAACGTATGCAACGGAAAGTTTGAACCGGAAGAGCCGGCGTAACCACATTTGACAAACTGTTTCGGCAATCGGATCGTATCGTATCGGATGAGATCAGATGGTGTGTGTGATGTGTGTGAAGATATTGAGATATATGAAGACATAGAGGAATAATAGATAAATAAATGGTTAAAACAAAACAAAATCAATAAACTTCTTGAGCTAATGATTAGTATACTAACGCCGGTTCCGTTATCGCAGACAACAATCTTGTGTCCTTCGCTGTCCATTATATATCGCAAGTGTGTGTCTATGTATGGGTGTTACCGACGGATTTGATGACCACTACAACAGTAACCGCTGATTGATTGCCGCGACTATTGATTGGATGTAATGACAGCTATAATAATATCAATGAAATGAATGAATGAATGAATGAGTAATTTGTTTGTCAATACATTAAATGTATTGAAATATACAACACATTAGTATTAATACTGTATTTATTAAAACACTTGTATTACTTGACTGTAGGAAAAACACACCCAAAAAAACATAACACTAGAGTGTGTAACACAAGGATAAGAAACCCGAAACCGTTTTGTTTTATTACTATTTAATTATTATTATTATTATTATAGTAAAATAACAACTATAGCTAATATTATTTTTTGAATTAATTTAAATAGATATGTGTATATAAAATTTTTTTTTAAAATTATTATTTTAGATGTTAATAATTAACCCGGGGGTTATTTATTTATTTTTTTTAAAAATTAACACAGTTATTATTATTATAGTAAAATTAACAACTAGCTAAAATTATTTTTTGAATTAATTTAAATAGATATGTGTATTATTTTAAATTATTATTTTTTGATTTAATAATTGACCCGGGTTTTATTTTTAAAATTTATTATTGGGTTAATAATTACCGGTTGAACCCTAACCGATATTGTAATCATCTTAAAAAGTTTAGGGTACTCTAGTGTTTGTTATTATAATTACTATACAAGCGCTGACATCTATAGTGTTTATAAATTAATTAATAAGTTTTTCAAAAATTTAAATTTAATAATATTTAACTTTAATTTATTTTATTTTTTTTAATTATACAGTATTTTACTGTATATATATAGAAAAAATTATATAAATTTAGATTTAATTAAATCTATTCAATTAATTAGTCGGTAATCAATAATAACATATTATCTAAAAAAAATTAGTTGTTTTATATAAAGCTATTAAACAAATTTTTTTACAACTTTATAACATTTTATTTTTTAATTAACGTTATTATTAATTAACAAAAAAAAATTATTACTTGATTATAAATTAAATAAATTATATCACTATAGCAATTATTTTTTTTTAAAAATAATATTTTATCTATTAATACATTAATCAGATATTTCATTGATATATATCTATTGATACGATTTATGATTTTTAAAAAAACTTAAATCACTTAAAAACAATGTTATCCCTGGGCACATGTGTTTAGAGCACAGGTAGTCACAAAAAAATATTATCATTATTATTGTATATACAAATTAATTTTTGTTAAAATTATAGTTGAGATTATAATTATTATAATTTATTAATGAAACAAAAAATTATTAGTGAAATAAATATTGATAGTTTTATTACTTTAAAACTTCAAAAATTAAAAAAACTAAAATCATCAAGCAAATTAAATTAATTTAATAAATTATTGGTAATTGATTTAAAATTATTTTTAAAAATCATAATAAATTATTACCTATAAATTGTTTTAGCTATATATAGTTATTTATTTATTAATAATTTTTTATATAATTTACTTTATGATAATATTGTATTTTTTTAATTATTAACACATATTACACAAAATATTGATAATTTTTTAAAGCTATTTATAGAGCAATTTGATATTCAAATATGTTTTTTTCACTCTATCTCTATCTAATTATTTTTATAAAATATTTAATATAATATTTATTAATACTAATACTAATAATAGTTAATAAATAATTCATTATAGCATTTAATTTTTAAAAAATAAAATAAATAATACTACACTTAATTGAATATTTATTATATTTGATAATATAATATAAGTTTCTTTAAAAAATTTATTTAAAACAAAAAAAACTAACAAAAAATGTATATAAATTTACCATCATCAAAATTTAACTTAATTGTTATCATATTAATTTCAATTAAATTGATTTTAATATTGATTTTATTATCACAAAATTGGCAATCAATTTATCGATATAGCGATTATATGTAAGAAAATAATAATAATAATATCATAAATATTATTATAACTTATTATATCAACAAAAAAAATATAAGTTATATTCAAATTATTTTTATTATACTACTATTGAGAGATTTAAACAATTTTTTTATCAATTAATTTTAATTAATTTTTTTTAATTACACAGTTACTCGAAAACACAACAATTAATTGCAATTAATGATAATGTTGATAATAACAATCATAATCATAAAGATAACAATATCGATGGCCAGTTTAAGGCCAGTTATCGTTTGGATACCCGGGGCTGTCGTATTAGTGATCTGCCAGTGTTTGATGAGGAAACTCGGCCACTGTTTGCCGATTATATTCACTCAAATCAGACACAATGGCAGTGCAGTAAACGGATGCCCATTAAAATTAGTCGACAAAATGAGACATCAATTTTGTTGGACTGGTCTGGACTAAACTTTCAGCCCCTGTGCTACTATCGGAAACTATGGCTAGAGGGGTCCGATAAACAGGGTCAGAAATATAGTTAGTAGTGTTAATTAATTTATATTTATATAAATTTATATATATATACAGTATATCATAACACCTAAACCATATATATATTTTTGTTTGTTTCGTAAGGGTGGGTGGGTTTGATGGACTAATTAATTAATTTTATTTAAACAAACAAACAAAAATCTTAACTAGGTAATTTTCGTGGACCAATATTGACCCAGCTATATCATATATCTATATAGTATAGTATATCATAAAACCATACCATATGTCCATCCACCTAAATCAGAGATATATAATATTTTTGTATTTTTTGTTTGTTTGAACGGGTGGGTGGGTTTGATGGACTAATTAATTAATTAATTTTATTATTTATAAAAAAAACTTAACTAGGTAATTTTCGTGGACCAATATTGACCCGGGTACTTGAATTTCCCGAATCCGATTTTGTACACGTAGTATGTTTTAACAATAGGCTAGCAGTGGGCCATCGGAAAGTTAGTGCCAAAAAATTTAATCCCAAAAATTCCGATATTATACTCAATAGTATAGTACCGTTAATACCTATTGTCAAACCAACATCACCACCACTGGCTACCAGTCCAACAACAGGTACTGATGCTGATGATGGTGGTGTACCCAATATACTATTGTTGGCCATTGATTCGACATCATACGTAAATTTTAAGCGACATTTCCACCTAACTGGCCAACTAGTTAGAGATCATGAATTCTATGAACTATACGGCTATAATAAAGTTGGTTCAAATACTTTCCCTAATATGATACCGTTCCTAACCGGCCATCGACCCGATGAACTGGTACACCATCGTAAACTCGGTAGTATTTATTTCGACGATTGGCCACTAATTTGGAAAGACTATCGAAATCATGGTTTTTTGACTGCATATCTCGAAGAGATGTCGTGGTGCGGACTATTTTACTTTAATTTGAATGGTTTTCTACATAAGCCGACCGACTATCAGACCCGACCCTATCATTTGGAAATTATTAAAGAAAAGTATAACTATTATTGTTATAATGATAAGACTGAAACACAGGTTAGTGTAGTAATAAATATCATCATATAATGTCATCACAATAGATACACAAACCTATAGCACCTGTATTTCCCACAAACACACCCCCACCCACCTAACCATTCATATAGCATTCATTGGACTGGACCTACGATTTTGTTAAAGCTATGAACCAAAGAAAGCAACAGTATTTTGCATACATATCGGTCAGTGAGATGACACACGATTGGATAAATGCCGGACACTTTCTGGACGTACCCTATCATCAATTGTTGAGCCGACTGTTCACGGAAGGACTGGCCAAAAATACGGCCATATTTTTATTCTCAGATCACGGCGTTCGTTACGGTGAGCTCAGGCGTACGCATACCGGTGAAAGTGAAAACCGATTGCCATTTATGTTCATACATTTGCCGAAACAGTTTACCAATAAGCACCGGGATGATGGATGGTTAGCTAATTTAACAGTTAATCAACATAGACTGACCACTGCTTTCGATATACATGCCACACTCTATCATATTGTACATGGTCAGTTTACTATATATTTATTATAATATTGGTTACTGTATATAATTACAATACCCACTCCCCCCCCCCCATCCACCATAGGAAAGCCAAATACTAGTCAACCGCACGGCATATCCCTGTTCACCCCCATCAGCGACCAGCGCCAGTGTATCAATGCTTCGATACCGGAAATGTTTTGTTCGTGTTTTTCCGAACAAATAGTTACCGATTATCAACCGTTTTACCGATCGGGAATCATTGGCCAGATTGTTGACCACTTGAACTCGTTGACCAATTTCTATCGATATATGTGCTTGAAATTTACGTTTCATTCAGTCTATCGGATATATCAACGGGAAAATAGTCGTAACGATTCAGAGTATCTGTTTGGTCAACAAGTGGTCAAATATATCATTCAACTATATGTTAACCCAGGGATGGCATTGTTCGAGACGGTAGTGAAAAGTTTGAGCACCCGATCAGCTAACTATACAATGATTACTAAAATCTATCGTATCAATAGATATGGTAATCAATCGGATTGTATTACTGATAAAATACTTAAAAACTATTGCTATTGTTATTGATTTGTTTGTTTGTTTTGTGAAGTCAGTGATAAGTCTCAATATATATTTTTTAATTCAATAGTTATGTAATTTATATGTTTAATAGTTTTATATGAAAATTATTTTTTTTAATATATAGAAATATACTTACAGTATATATCTATATATGTTATTAATGATTGACTGATACATCAAAATCAAGCTGTGGTCAGTCTAATTATGATTGACCTATAAATTAGCCTAACCTAACCTCCTAACTATCCATTGTCAGTGAAACAGTCAGGTAATATTAGTGCACAGGTAGTTAAAAAATATTATTATTTAATATATTAATGTATACTTGTATATACAAATGACAAAATTTATTTACAGTTGAGATTTATAAATATAGAAATAAAATACTAAAATAATAAAAAAAATTTAAACTTAAGTGACCATGTACAATTAATATGATTGAGGTGTTATAATTAAACCCTGAACCATTTATTTTCTACTCTAGTATGTTAACAATTATAATGTTGTATATACTAAGTATAATAGTTAACTTAATTAATTATTTTTGTATTTAGCAAATTTCTTATTATTATTGAGTTTTATAATCAAATTAATTAATTATTATTTTATTGAAAAAAGTCAATTAAACAAATTTAGTAAAGTTATTAATAATTTATTATTCAAACCAAAATAAAAATATGATCAAATAAATATTGATAGTTTACTTGCTTTAAAATTTTAAAAACTAAAAATTATCAAGCATAAGCAAATGAAAATTTAATAAATAATTTAATTTTTCGTAATTAATTTAAAATAAAAAAAATATATATTAAATTAATAAATATTTATTTATTAAAATTTTTTTTTGGGTGGGGGGGTATTTAACAAACAAAAAAATTATATTTATTTTTTAAATATAATTTCTTAAACGATAAAATAGTAAATTAAAAATTTATTAACACATTTAACACAAAATACTGATATTTTTTTCAAACAGTATTTATATAGGAATTTGATATTCAAATATGTTTTTTTTCATCTAATTATTTAATTTAGTTTTTAATTTTATAAAACATGTTAATGTATTTTAGAATATTTTAAAATATAGTTTAATTTAAAAAAAATAAAATAAATATACTACATTACTTAAATACATATTTATTATATTTGATAATAATATAAATTTCATTTTTTTTTAAAAAGTAAGTATTTATTTAAACAAACAAAAAAATGTATATAAATTTACCATCATCAAAATTTACCTTAATTGTTATCATATTAATTTCAATTAAATTGATTTTAATATTGATTTTATTATCACAAAATTGGCAATCAATTCATCGATATAGCGATTATATGTAAGAAAAAAATACTAAAAAATTTTTTTAAAAATACATATAAATATAATTATTATTATTACTATTATTATTATAAAAATATATACATTTTTAAAAGTAATATATTTTTATTATATACTATTTGGGAGGGATTTAAAAACAATTTTTTTTGTAAATAAAATATTTATTAATTTTTTATGTTTCTTCAATTATACAGTTACTCGAAAACACAACAATTACTTGCCATTAATAGTAATAATAATAATAATATTGATAATAAAAACAATCATAACCATAAAGTTAATAACATCGATGGTGGCCAGGTTAAGCCCAGTTATCGTTTGGATACCCGGGGCTGTCGTATTAGTGATCTGCCAGTGTTTGATGAGGAAACTCGGCCACTGTTTGCTGAATATATCCATTCAAATCAGACACAATGGCATTGCAGTAAACGTATGCCCATTAAAATTAGCCGACAAAATGAGACATCAATTTTGTTGGACTGGTCTGGACTAGACTATCAGCCCCTGTGCTACTATCGGGAACTATGGCTAAAGGGGGCCGACAAACGGGGCATGACTTATAGTTAGTAGTGTTAATTAATTTATGATATAGTATATCATAGTACCATACCATAACCATCCACCTAAACCATAGATATATAATATTTTTTGTTTGTTTGTTTGAACGGGTGGGTGGGTTTGATGGGCTAATTAATTAATTAATTACTTTTATTTATATAAAAAATATATTAACTAGGTAATTTTCGTGGACCAATATTTACCAAGCTACTTGAATTTCCCCGATCAGAGTTTGTACACATAGTATGTTTTAACAATAGGCTAGCAGTGGGCGATCGGAAAGTTAGTGCCCATAATTTTGATCCCAAAGATACGGATATTGTATTGAATAGTATAGTACCGTTAATACCTATTATCAAACCATCACCACCATTGGCTACCAGTCCAAAAACAGGTACTGGTGCTAATGATGATGGTGTACCCAATATACTATTGTTGGCCATTGATGCCACATCGTACGTAAATTTTAAGCGACATTTCCACCGAACTGGCCAACTAGTTAGAGATCATAAATTTTATGAACTATACGGCTATAATAAAGTTGGTACCAATACTTTCCCAAATATGATACCCTTCCTGACCGGCCATCGACCCGATGATCTGGTTTCCGATGATAAGCTTCGGAGTATTTATTTCGATGATTGGCCACTAATTTGGAAAGACTATCGAAATCATGGTTTTTTGACCGCATTTCTCGAAGAGATGTCGTGGTGCGGACTCTTTCACTTTAATCTCAACGGGTTTCTACATAAGCCGACCGACTATCAGACCCGACCGTTTCATATGGAAATTATGGACGAAAAGTATAATTATTATTGTTATAATGATATGACTGAGACACAGGTTAGTGATCATATTCAAGTCATCTCAATAAATACTAACCCATTAGCGCACCCTCACTTTTCCATCCCAAACCCCCCCCCCATACCTACCCATCAATCTCATAGCATTCACTGGACTGGACCTACGATTTTGTTAAAGCTATGAACCAAAGAAAACAACAGTATTTTGCATACATATCGGTCAGTGAGATGACACACGATTGGATAAATGCCGGACACTTTCTGGACGTACCCTATCATCAATTGTTAAGCCGACTGTTCAGCGAAGGACTGGCCAAAAATACGGCCATATTTTTATTCTCAGATCACGGGTTTCGTTACGGTAAACTTAGGCGTACACATACCGGTGAAATTGAAAACCGATTGCCATTTATGTTCATACATTTACCGAAAACGTTTGCCGATAAGCACCGGGATGATGGATGGTTAGCTAATTTATCAGTTAATCAACATAGACTGACCACTGCTTTCGATGTACATGCCACACTTCATCACATTGTACATGGTCAGTTTACTATATATATATTATATTGATTACTGTATATAATTACAAYCCCCYCCCCCACCCCCATAGGAAAGCCTAATACTAGTCTACCGCACGGCACATCCCTGTTTACACCGATCAGCGACCAGCGCCAGTGTATCAATGCTTCGATACCGGAAATGTTTTGTTCGTGTTTTTCCGATCAAATAGTTACCGATTATCAACCGTTTTACCGATCGGGAATCATTGGCCAGATTGTCGACCACTTGAACTCGTTGACCGATCTCTATCGCTATATGTGCTCGACGTTCAAGTTTCACTCAGTCTATCGGATATACCAACGGGAAAACAGTCGCAACGATTCCGAGTATCTGTTGGGACAACAGGTGTTTTATATCATTCAACTGTATGTTAACCCAGGGATGGCATTGTTCGAGACGGTTGTGAAAAGTTTGAGCACCCGATCGGCTAACTATACAATGATCGGCAAAATCAATCGTATCAATAGATATGGCAATCAATCGGATTGTATTAACGATAAAATACTTAAAAACTATTGCTATTGTGATTGATTTTAATCAGTGAAATCAGTAAAATTTTTAATTTAATTTAATTTAAGTTTTCATTAGTAAATAATTTATTTTTTTTTAATTTATATTTTTTTGTGTATAAAATTTTTTTGATAATTAATTATCTAAAATTAATTTTGTTTAGAAAAAATTTGACTAAAATTTCGGTTAAATAATATTTATTATAATTATTATTTGTTGTTATATTAACTGTATATTTTGTGTACACAAGTATTAGTCCTAATATATTACTAAATTAAATAATTTAAATAATAAGAAACTATTACTAAATTTTACTACTAATAAGTCAATTATAATGTATTTATTAATGAATTTGAATAACAAAATACACACTTTTACTATCATTTTTACAACAAATAAATCCTGTTTTTCCTGAAAAATCCCATTTCTATCAAAAAAATCCTGTTTTTCTGAAAAATTACAAATTTGTCCCAAAATTTAACATTGGTTTCAAAATTACACTTTTGTCTAAAAAATTAAACATTTGTCTCAAAGTTAAACTTTTGTCTAAAAATTACACTTTTGTCTAAAAAATTAAACATTTGTCTAAAAATTACACTTTTGTCTAAAAAATTAAACATTTGTCTCAAAATTACACTTTTGTCTCAAAATTACACTTTTATCTCAAAAATGTGTCTCAATTTATACTTTTTAAAAAAATCCTATTTGTTTCAAAATTTTTATTTTCAAAAAAAAAACTCAAATTTTACGTAATTTTATCTAAAACATAGTTACAAAACATATTTAATTAATAAATTAACCATACACATACAATACACATCATGATAAATATTATCAAAATATACATAAAAAAAATTACAATACAGTATTAAATTAATAAAAAAAATTTATTTATCAAAATAATAATAATTAATAATAAAAAAAAGTGTGAAAACATTGTAAAAATGAATTAATTAGTTTGCAATAATAATAATAATAAAAACAAATTAGACACACATTTTATAGATACACAAAATATTTTTAATAATTTCTAATAAATAAATTAATCAATCAATCAATGAATCAATTTTCTGGATCAGCTAAGATATCGTTTTTCAAATTAGGTTTAACTATCAATTGACGAAACTTTTCGGTAGCCATTTGGGTGCCATAAGCGCACACAACTGAGTCCTGACTACTACTACGGGTGCCGCCATAGTGTACGGCCACTTGAGAAACACAAGTCTTTCTTAAACAATAATCTTTAAATTGTTGTTCATTTTCATCGATAGTCTGGGCTAACGACTGCTGAATAACCGCTACAAACACGTTGTTGTTGTTGTTGGTGTCGTTGTTGACATCAATTTGTTGGCCACTGAGCTCTTTGAGTGTATTAGCGAAACCGATTCGTTGGATCTTAAATTTGGTCATCAATGCAACCATTGATATATCAAACAACTGGAGATCGCAATCGCTGTCCATTTGGTCGACAATATCGGATAGTTTGTCAAACACTCGGATGAATGCGTCCAACGGAACCACTGGCTGTTGTTGTTCGGATCCATAATTATCTACTAAAACATTGTCCACTTTATCGGCGATAGTGGCCAACATTCGTTGCGATATTTCCAAGTGATGGCTCAAAACTATACGAACAATTGGCATCACTTTCAACCTATCAATAGTAATCACTACCGACTTATCGTTGTCGCCATCAATTGATGGTTGACTATCACTATCACTTAGTTCTTGTAATTTTTTTTCATTTCGTTGCTTCAGTTTTGCCAAATACTTGTCACAAATCCAGGGAAAGCCATAGTATTTGCGGGACAAACAACTACTAGCATTGGACTCATTATTCAGTCGATGGCTGATCTGATACCAGGCACTGGCTTTAGCCAACCGGTGCTCATCATCATCATCGGTGGTCATCGACTCGAATTGTCGGCGAAAATCGGCAAACAATTTATTGATAACACTCGACACCAAATCGTGTGTATCGTTGCTATCATTCTGAGTGGACAAGTATTTGACAGTCTTTGTGAATGTGGCCGACAGTAGTGCCGCTTCGCTTTCAATGCCAAACCTGTCCATCAGTTCGTCGACAGTATTCACGTATTGGTCAAACATATGTCGGGCTTCTGGTATATAATGGTCGGCATTTTCGTGAACTAACAACGGATTTATGTCCACATTATTATTATTATTATTATTATTACTATCGTAACTCTGGCGCGAAAATCGGCTAATAATGTCGTGAAAGAAACAGTTTTTCTGGTATAGTCTGCCCAACGCTTTATTCGACTCATAACTTGGTTTTTCGTTATATTTTTGCATAAAATCCGGATATCTATTGGGTTTCTGTGTATTCTTCAGCCGTGCATTGATACCAGTTTTGGCGTAATCCAGTGCCACAGCATAGCGATAGTCCAGATTGAAACAAATGTCGGAAAATATACCCGATTGATAGTGATCGGCCCAAACCAAATGTGAACTGGCTATGAGTCCGACTTGATTGTTGGATATGAATCGTTCGTAAAATCCCAGTATATCCCGGGTAGTAACCGGTCGGCCAAGATCTTCGGCCTGGCCGGACGGAAAACTCATGGGTGCATAGTTTTTCCGGGGGAATATCATATCCTGGAACCAACAAACACTGAATTCGTCGCCATCCAAATCGCTTCCGGCCATTTCGTCCGCATGGGGCCGTTCGCCTCGGGCCGGAAATACAATCGAATCGACAATATGATGAAGTTCGGGTACGTCGACGGCAATCAGTTTGCGACAATCGCCCGGATGCATACACGGATATTTTGTGACCAATATTTCGCCGGTCAACACACGTTTGGTGATAGTTGTCTGGCCAGCGGTACCCGCACCACAACCACCACCACCACTCGACACCCGATGGTCGCTATACTGGACAAACACTTGGCCGTATTCGAGTGTCTGAGTTTCGTCCAATACGCCAAACATAACCCGACCTTGGTCGTACGGTACCAATATTCGGGCCTTATTTCGTAGATCGAGACTAACTTTTCGGATGATAGACTCGATTATGGATAGAAAAAATGGTTCGTTAAGTATGTCGATACCCGATTTGGACAGTTGACTGTAGTCTAGTTTCAATAAGGTATAGTCTTTGATTAGTTGGAGTGCCTTCTGATTGGTGGTAAAGGCGTCGACGAATTGTTTTTGACGTCGAAACAGTAGTTTCAGAAAACGATCGGTTGTGACACCCATATGATAGAGTATGGATATTAGCGGCCGATTCAGATACAGAGCACGCGGTTCACCATATTTTAGTAGATCCAAGTCCTGGGAATCGGATTCAAACTTTCGCATCGATGGACGCATCAAAATCTTTTTGCCCGCGAGCTTGGGATTGACTACAACAATACCCTTACAGCCGGCGTATCGTATCTGAAATGTGGACACTTCGTGACTAATGTTCAATGTCTTGCAAATCTCTGCGGCCATCTCACGTGATATCTGGCCAACACCGTCAGAAAACGTATACGGATCGCCAGTACGGTCGTGAATACCGCCGGTAATATCGTCGATAAATTCGACACAGTCGACACCAGCCAGAAATCCCATCGACTGTGACATCGATTGGCCGATTCGGGCGATAAACTTACCGGAATTTCGCAATTGTTGAATGTCGCCAATTGATCGGCAAATAGCCGACGCGTCTCGTTGTTGGCCATCGCGTGCGTACAAAACAAGTCCGTTATCCCGGAGCTGACTGGTCGACGCTCCCAATACTTCATAGCGTCGACCGGCAATTTCGATACCGTCGATGAGCTGTTCAGTGATAACTTGCCGAAGAAACGCATTGATCCGCTGAATAACCGGATGTGCCTCAGGCAGCGATGTCTTGCATGCGGTAAATGCTAACGACTGAAGATTTTCGTCTTTAATAATAATTCGGACCATATATTCCGGATCACATGTCCTCAACAGTCGACTCTCTTGTAGTGGCAAAGCCGGCAACAATAGTAGTCTGGTTGGCGTCAGAATACATCTGCGAATTAAGATTACCGATCGATTCGACCATTTGTCGGTATTCTTCTTCGTATTAAACCATTGAAAATGTTCGACAAAATCTTCCATTGGATTCAAATGTAAATTGTTTTCGACTTTCTTCTGCAACTCATTCAACGAATACTCGACAGCCGTAACATTGATTTCGGTCAACTGACGGACTAAATCGACAAACTGTTGATATGTATGAATTGAATTACCATTGAATTCAAGACAATCTTGAAAATAAAACGAATGATTAGTCAAAGCCTGTAGCGAATAGTTGACACCAAACGGCAATCCAGTGGCTGAAGAAGACAATGGTAACGATGGACACACTGTCACCGCCGCCGCCGATGATTTGTTGTCCACTAAATCAATCGATTTCTGTTGAACCAAAATTAACGGATCAAACGCTTTGATATTTGACACAATATCTAGCAATTGATCTCTAGTTTTCAATGACAAGCGAATAGCGGTAACTTTTGTGAACAATCTCTCGTCAAAATCTGATAGTTTTGTTGTCCGCAATCGGTAGCCAACAAAATCCTCGTCGTCACCATCATTGCCGCCGGTGGCCATCATGTTATGGCCATCATCATCATCATCATTGCAGTCGATAATATCTTGCAATAGTTCCGACTCAAAGTCCATCATAAGGTGGTCGTTGTCGTAGTCGATGACACCATCAAAGTTATAGTTATCTTTGTCGGTGTCGTCGTCGTCAACAACGGTGTCGTCTTCGTTATTGTTATCGCCATTAAGATTGCCGTTATTTTTATGGCCATCAGGATTGCCGTTATTGGTATCGTCATTAGGATTGTCGTTATGGTAGTCATAGTCGTAGTCATCGTCTAGACTAATGTTATAAAGTAGTGGCGGATATAGCAGTTTGATGACCAACTCATTGTTGTCGTCGGTATAGAAGATGGCCTTAATCTGCGAGTAATTGATGGCCAACTCGTATCGCTGGACAATCCATTCAACATTGGCATGACTACGGCTACTATGATGACCATCGCCACCAGCGGCGGCGTCGGCGGTATCCGATTCGGCCTCAACTCCCGAATTGTTGGCCATTGAAGCCGCGGTGGTGTCCACATTGTCTTCATCAACGATCGGCGGCGACGGCGACGACGATAATCGTTGAACAAAAGTCTTCATTTGGATCAACAGTTTGTGGCGAAAGTTTTGAAACAAAGCGTTGGCCGAACTCATCTCGAAATAGTCGCTGTCGTGGTGGTCATCACCGCCGCCGCCACTGTCGCCGATAAGTTTGTCGCCACCGATAGTCAAATGGTTGACCAGTAACTGATCCGAGTTGACAATACAGCCCAACATAATCGACGACAATTTGGCCGACAATTGTGGCTTCAATTCAATCAATGGTAAACACATTGTTGTTGTTGTCGGTGTCGGTGTTTTCGGGAGAGTGTGACCACAAAAAAAATAATTGATTTACCGATCAATAGATATCAAACACAACACGTGTTATAACGATATGATTGACTGATTGATTGATTGATTGATGTGTTTGTTATGACATTAATATACATATGTATTGAATATTATAGTATAATATTAATTAGTTATTAATTATTTACAGTTTTTTTTATATAAAAAAAAATTAATTAAAACATATATACACTGTATATACAGTAATACAGTATATAAATAGTGTATTGATTTTATTTTCGACACTTAATATGATATATATTTAAATATACAGTAAAGTAAAAAATAAAATAAAATAAATTTTGTTTAATAATGGTACTAATTATTATTATTATTATTTAAAAAGTGTAATATTAAACTGTTAAGTAAGTTTAAACTTTTTTTAAAAAAATAAAAATAAAATAATAATTGATAGACAAAAGTCAATAATATCACTCATTTACATTATATACTGTATTTATAAAAGTCCCAAAAGTTACTAAAAAAAATAAATATTAAATAATATAATTTTATATTAAATAACGATTAATAATAATTTTATTAATATTAAATTTTTTTAAATTTCTATTACAATAGATATAATCAATCAATTATTTATACAATTAATTTTGTTGGTGTTGTTGTTAATTAACTTAATTACCAACAAAAAAAAATAATAATTTAGTATTATTTTAAATAATAGAGACATTAGTTTATTTTAAGTTTTTATTTTAATTTTTTGTCTATCAATTATTTATTATTAATTATTATTAAACAAATAGACTGTATATATCTTAAAATACCAGTAGAAACCAGTTGATGATGACAACAATAAAATAACAAAATAATATATTTTGTCTAATAATTATATATTAAAAAAAAAGTTAGCCAGCAATTTAAAAAAAAAATTATTTTATCCACAATTTTACAGGGTTAGAATTTTACATAATTGTTACAATGATTTATTATTATTATTATTTTTTATTAAAAAAATATATTTAAAAATATTATATTTATTATAACTTAATATAAATTTATATTATATTTTTTGAGGAATTATATAACAGTTATATGTTTGACATTTGATACTTCCCTTATATATATATATATTATATAATAATATTTAAACTATTTAACTAATAACTAAAAATATGTTTATACTTATATAAAATGTTTAATGTTATATAATATAACTAAAAATAATATCAACTGGGTTATTATTATTTTTTTAAATTTTAAGTCTATTAATTTTTTACTATTATTTTAACTTTTAATTTTTTTGATTGACTGATCACTTGATTGATCTTTAAATTAATTTCTAATAAAAAATACAATAAATATTTTTAAAAATAATATATATATATATAATATGTTATAAATACAGTATATATTTTACACTAATATCGTTTAATAGTTGCTTAAAATACCGATATAACAAATATAAATTTGTGTGGTCCTAATAAATAGTAAAAAAATTTCAATTAAAAATCATTTAACTGTTAAAATACTAATAATGGACAATAAAAATTACAATTATTAATAACAATATATTGTTAAAAAGCAATTATTATTAGGCAAACAAAAGTATATGAATTCAGTTATATTCAGATATTATTATTATTATTATTAGTATTATTATTATTATTATTATTATTAGTATTATTATTATTATTATTATTATTATTATTATTATTATTAGTATTATTATTATTATTATATATATATACTATATATTTATTATTCATGTATTGTTAGTCAGTCACCAAATAAGTATCATTACTACTACTACTACTACTACAGTTGGTTACTGTGCCATAAGGTTATGGCCTTTTGTATACCGTTTTCCTCTCTCTCTCTCTCTCTCTCTCTCTCTCTCTCTCTCTCTCTCTCTCTCTCTCTCTCTCTCTCTCTCTCTCTCTCTCTCATTTGTATAAACATTATTAACAATCATCTGTTGAATACCTGCTCTCTCTCTCTCTCTCTTCTCTCTCTCTCTCTCTCTCTCTCTCTCTCTCTCTCTCTCTCTCTCTCTCTCTCTCTCTCTCTCTCTCTCTCAACTCATTTGTATAAACATTATTAACAATCATCTGTTGAATACCTGCTCTCTCTCTCTCTCTCTCTCTCTCTCTCTCTCTCTCTCTCTCTCTCTCTCTCTCTCTCTCTCTCTGTCTGTCTGTCTGTCTGTCTCTCTTTCAAAACATTTTCAATAATAATAATAATAATAAGTTATTGACAACAAATAAAACTAAATTGCTCAGTTGGACACAACATTTGTGATACTTTATTATTACTATATTATTTGTAATATTTAATAAAGCAATTATAATAAACACACACAAAATATATCTATAAAATATTTCATTAATAACTTAATTGCAAAAACAAAACTAAATAAAAAGTATCTATATATGTATATACTATTATATATACACACAATTTATACTACATTTAATTTATAATATAAAAAATATACTAAATTGTTATTAATTGATATATGTATATGAATTTAATTATAAAAACGTGAATTAATTTTTATTTAATATGCTTTATTAATTTTTATTTTAAATATATTGATTATTATTTTTTGTTTGTTTCTCCAATAATTACCAAAAACATAATTAATTACTATAACTTAATTATGATAATTATATACAGGTATATAAATTTTATATTTACAATTTTTAATTTACAAAATTCATCATAAACAATTATCATTGTGTAAGTAAAAAAATGTTATAATAATACTGTATTAAATTTATTACCATTTTTATATAAAACTTGCTAATAATAAAAAGGACATAAAATTACAACAAACAGCAACACAATAAAAACAGTTAACTATATTTACAATTGTATTAATAATATATACACTATCTATACAATTATATACACATAATACCGTAAATTTCTAGTTAGTAGTCTGGGGGGGGGGGTAGGGGCCAGATATGTATGTCTATTGTTGTACATATATATATATATCAATATATTGCCCCAGCAATATTGACCATTAAAACATATGATAATAACAATACACTTATATATATATATATATATATATATATATATATATATAGGTAGATATAAATTTATAATATCTATAAGAGAGAGAGAGAGAGAGAGAGAGAGAGAGAGAGAGAGAGAGAGCTATAATAATAATAATAATAGTTTGGCACATAATTAATAATATCAATAAAAATAATTTATAATAAGGTTTTTTTATAGTCATGCTATACTATACTATGTATTATATGTTTGTGATGTGATGATTATATTGTATGTTGTTTGTGGACCTACAATAGGGAGGTGGGATTGGATGGGGAGGGCTGGGGGGTAGAGGGCGACCAAACAAAACAAATTACCAGCTATTTGTGTCCAAATTTTCTAATGTCACCAAATGCTGGATGTCTGTCCCAATGGCTATTATTATTATTATTGTTATTATAATTGTCCCTGTTAAGTCTATAAATTATTTATACATATTATAGTATATAAATTTTATGTCACATTTATTTTTGTTAAATAATTATTTTTGTTAGTCATTTAGTTTTATTTTGTTGTTGATTGAAATACATATACAGTATATTAATAAAACACACACAATATTAATATGTAAGTTAAGAGTGTTAGGTTAGTTAAGAGAGAGAGAGAGAGAGAGAGAGAGAGAGAGAGAGAGAGAGAGAGAGAGAGAGARAGAGAGAGAGAGATAAAACAATTATGAGTTAACAATATACTGTATATATAAATAAAATAAAACAAAATAAAATTTTTGTGTTATTCACAATATAATATATTATTAACAATATATAACAACACACACACACACACATAAAAAATCTATTTATATATATATACAGTATGTATAGTATTTACACTACTATATCATATTATCGGGGGTGGGGGAGGAAAAACCAGTTAATTATTTTTAACTTATTTTTTCATGTATAATATATATATACAGTATACAGTATATTTAGTTTCTATTATATATATATATTAATATATCTATATTTAAACATTTTTTTTATAATTATATACTGTATGTATAGATAAAGTGATAATATAAATTTTTTTTACATACATTTTTTGTTGTGTATGCGTTTACACAATACTAAACAGTAGTAATTTATTATACAGTATATACAGTAAGTTGTTAGGAAAAAATAAAATAAAATAAAAAGTAATTTATAATAAATTAAAAGACTAATTGTATGTATATGTATGAAATAGTGTGTGTGTATGTGTGTGTGTGTGTGTATGTGTGTGTGTGTGTATGTGTGTGTGTGTGTATGTGTGTGTGTGTATGTGTGTGTGTGTGTGAAAATAAATGTGTGTTTTTGAAAAAAATAAAAGATTTAAAACCAAAAAATAAAATATTTAACATAAAATATACTGTAATAATGGTATTGTCAGCCTTGAAAATCACACAATTATATTAAATCTGTTATTTATGTTATTATTATTATTATTATTATTATTATTATTATTATTAAATATCATATAATTTATATTTTAGAAAAATAAATAATAAGTGTTTTTCTATCATTAATAAAATCATTTGACAAATAATAAGTTTCGTCATAATGTCGTCACAATTTAAAAATATAAAATTGTTTTTTTTTTGTGTTGTTATTGAAATAAATTATAAATTATTTTATATTATATCATTAATTTATATAAATATAAATATGTATTATACTATACATATATATATATACTATATATATATAATAAATTATAATTAATTTTATTTTTATTTTTTTTAAAATAGAAATAATTTCTCTGTTATTTTTATCAATGTTTTTATTAAAAAATAAAATAAATTATATATAAATGATATTTTATTTATTTATAGAAATGTATGCGTATTTTTCTAGTGTATAACAGGTTTTATATTTCAAATATTTTAATTTTAAATTTTCTTTTAAATAATAATAATTATTATTATTATTGAAATAGAAACTAAATTTTTTGAATATTTAAAAAGTAATTTTTTTGAATACTTTACTAAATATAGAAGAAAAATAAAACATAATAATTGTAATGTGATATATATGATATTATTATAATATATGATATAATAATT